GTCAGGCGGACACAGCATGAGCGATGATCGACATTGTAAAGGACCCTGCGTGCAGGACAAGCCTTGTTTCACGACGATACAAATACCCCTGGAATGAATCCTGGAATGAATGAGCTGGACGTGGTAGATGGCCTGAGGGTCAAAGGAGAAGATTCGGGCACTTGATGTGTCCTTGATATGTCGCGAGTTGGTATGCACCGTATGATGTAGAGAGCGATGTCGAAATGAATAAATGGACTTGTCAACGACGAAGGCTCATGCGTCGGAGTTTGGTGAGCAGGTCGAGACTGGCCGCATGCTTCTCGGGATAGACCAGCGGCTCAGGAGCTTCAGGCCGTGATGTACCACTCTTTCATGTTGAGTAATGGGGTGCGAAATCGAGTTGTCCGCATGGTATTGGAGTCTGAAGCTGTCCGGAGATGAAAGCAGGGTGGCAAACCCTATATACCAGTGAAAGATTTCCGTATGAAGGTGAGCGGGATTGCGACCATGACGCCATGAGGCACGCCATCGTGGCGTGCGCGTGCCGTGCCGTCCGCGTTCTGCGCCTCCGCCTGGGGTAACGTAATCGGAACGACGCGGCTCACACATGTCCCTCTGGCGCTGGGCCCGGATGGCGCATGGGTTTTCAGTATGATGGTGCTATGAACAGGCGTCGTGCGTGACCGGGGCATATGGTGGTGAGGCAGCGCCTGCGAGTGCGGTTGAGGCGGCGGGCGGGGAGACGGCTCGGATGGGGGTGAAGATTTTGTGTTTGTCTCTTTTGGTATTCACCATGAGCGCTGAGTTGACTTGGCCAAAGATAAAGATCCTTGGGTCTAGAGTCGAGCAACACTAGGTCGTCTTCTATCTTTTACAGGTGTCTGTCTCGTTGGGTTTGGTGGCATTTCATGATTTGCTTGCTAGAATATCACCTTGCAACTAGACGTGTCAGTCCTGGCCTTGGGATATCTCATGGTGTGGAACTAGGTGGTCTGGTCATTTTGTGTACGGGCGTTGCTGTGGTAGTACGCCGAGACGAGGACTTGGGCACGGGTGAGCAGCAGAAAAAGAAATAGGTTCCGACGATCGTTCATAACTGCTACCTGTTGTAGAGATGGTCCAAGGGCATCAAACTCAGGGCACACGCATGATAGCATGGGATGAGAACTGACACGCATGCTTCTTCGCATATTCAGACATCTTCCCAGACGCGATCTCACAGAGGTAACAAGGGATTCTGAAAGCAAGGCATCCCGGCAGAACTCACGCAATATCTACACTGCCTTTCTCGTCCTCAAAAGTCCTCACGAGTAGCCTCCAACAGCCCAACCATGTACATGTAAACCACAGTCCGACGCCCGACACGCAACCCTCGAGACCACGGCTCATTCCTCCAACGCCCCAATCAAAGGCTCCAGCATCCTCGGCAACAGCACAGCAGCATCCCCCTCCAAGACGAAATCCACCCCCTCCCGCCTGTCGCGCCCGACCTCGACATGCACAACACAAACCCTGGCCCGGCGCGACGGCCGGGTCGGCGGCGAAGGCCTCGGGCGTGGCGAGGTGGGGAGGCCGGAGGAGGCCGAGAGGCCGGCGCCGCAGAGGGCGAGGATGCGCGGCGTGGGGAGGCTGGTGAGGAGGGCGTGGAAGGCGGCGAGGTCGGATGACATGATGCGTTGAGGCGTCTGTAGTCTTGACGTCTTAAGCTTTGGTGATAGGTGAACGTTGGGGGACCATATATCCGACCGCATGGATGTAAATGATGACCGGCAGGCAATTGCCTGGTTCAGGCTATATTGGTATCACGTTGGCATCGCGCCTGTGATTGGCCTCTCCAGAGGTTGTACCACTGCTGCGCTGTCTAGACGCATGCTGACTTGCATGATGAGATGATGCTCCTCAGTTTTCAACACCGATTCAAGGAAAATGAAGGCAGTGTCATCATGAAGCATCCATATTCATATTCAACCCCCTCCCATCATTGCTCCTCATTCACCAAGACGTAGCGATACCGCGGTTTACCCTCCTCGACATCCACAATGGCTGCGTTCGCATCCGCCATCGGCCGCACCTGCACCCACGGCTTGACCCCCTGGCGCACGCTCAGGTCAAACATGTCCCGAATCTCCGCCGGCGATCCGATGGCCGAACCCGTCATCTTGACCCGCCCCGCAAGCAACGGGCCCGGGTGGAACGAGAACTGCCCGTCATCCGGGTTGCCCACCTGGACGAAGGTGCCGTCGCGCCGCAGCAGGCCCAGATACTCCTGCAGGGGCATACGGCTCGAGCTGACAGTCGAGATGATGATGTCGATACTCTTGGCGTTCTCCTTGGCCCAGTCGGCATCCCCGTCTGTCGATATGTACGCGTCGGCGCCCATCTGCAGCACCTCGTCCCTCTTGTCCGCCTTCCGGCTGATGCCCACGACGCGGTCAGCACCGAGGGCCCGCGCAAAGAGCACGCCAAAATGGCCCAGGCCACCGACTCCAACGATACCCACCGTCTTGCCAGGCCCTGCCCCGTGAAACCGCAAGGGCGAGTATACGGTAACGCCGCCGCAAAGCATGGGCGCAGCGTCCTCCGACGCGAGGCCGTCGGGAATCTTGATGACGAAGGCCGAGGGACATCGGTGGTAGGTTGCGTGGCCGCCCATCGTCTTACCTCCGTTGAAGTGGAAGCCGCCGTACGTATGCACGGCGCGAGGGCAGTAGTTGACGGAGCCTTCATCGCACTCACCACACGACCCCGCCGAGGCACCGCGGCCGAAGCAGCTGTCTGCCTGCGCACCGACGCCGACGCGGTCCCCGAGCTGAATGCCGCCCGAGGCTTGAGAGCCGACACGGACGGCGACGCCGACGATTTCATGGCCGACACAGATCGGATACGGCGCAGGGCCCTGTTCTGGTGGTCAGCTGCTTTCTGCAGAAGGCGAGTGGGCTGGCAGGCTAAGGCGAGCACAGATATGGTGGAAAAGCTTACCCAGCCAGAGCGCAGCATGTGTAAGTCCGAACCGCAAATGCCGCTGTGCGTGACTTTGATGTCAACATCTGTGTCTTCCCAAGCCTTGGGCTCAAATGTCTCCCAGACCATGTTGCCCTTGACCGAAGCCTCGTCATGGCCGATCCAGCCCTCGAACTTGTAGTCGTCTGCCATGGTGGTTGTCCTGTTGTGCTTCAGGGGTCTCTCGTGTGTCTGTATGTGCGCCTCGTGCGTATCGTCTGCTGAGGATAAAAAGCTGTCGATCGTAGTGTATCGGGGCAGATCAAGCGGTCCTGGCCACGAGGCACATTCGGCCTTTTGAGGCGCTTCCAGCACCGGCCGGTAAAGGTCTTCCCAAGCTCCCACGACCCCCAACCTATGACGTCTGCACCCCATCGTCTACGAAGCCTTGAAGCACAGCGATTGTGCCGGTCCGACTTTCTTTATTTTTTTTGCCTTTCTTTCTTCGCAGCATGGCATACCAACTCGGTCCGTCGACCCTGTAGGCACACAAGGTCGCCGATCACGTCGTGCGGAAATCGACGATGCCGAAGCCCCCCAGAATCGAATCGTGCAGTACGCCATGCCCATTGGCCGCCCCAGGTGTTTGCCCGCACGGCACGACCCAAAACCCGGATCACTGTCTCAAGGCAAAAGCAGCTCCGAGCAGAAGATGCAGCACCTGCTCGAAAACACTTCGGGAAGGTTCATTCATACTTGGTATAGGGCCGCGTCAAGACGGGCGCAGAGACGGGTGTCATCCCTATCGGCGTGAAAGATGGGGGATGATATCTCCTCTCATACGACAGGCAGTCTGTCCACTTCAGAGCAGAATGGAAAGCATATATCATGCTCAGGATTGAAATGAAACCGTGCGAGTGCCCAAAGCTTATCGAATCCGCCATGACGCACAGGTCCGATATACTTCTGCTTCCCATTGCTCTTGCCCCTTTCGCAGTGCAATGTCGCTTCCTCACGAGATGATTTCCGATTAACATCAGGCACGATCCACCAACGCACCCCCTTTCCACCGACATGTATACATATAAGTACCATACCTACCTCAGTACCTAGGTACCGTACCTTGGGTAAGCAAACGTCTAACCAGTTGAACCCCCTGACTATTCTGTCCCCCTCGAAGGAAAAACCTAGCTGCACACGAAGAAACGATCATCAAAGTGGCATCGAAGAAACGATCATCAAAGTTGCATCGATCTCTTACCAAACCCAGCTCTCGCATCGTATTCAGGTATATTTGATTTCCGGGGTTGAATCCTTCCGCTCGCTTCCAAGTTCCAGGGGGGCCTACCCCCCCTCCCCTCTAATTCCCCTCTAATTCTCCCTTGTCCCGATCCGGGCGCCGGCCCGTTGGCGTCCCGTAACTCAGTTGAGCTTCGCAGACGACGCCATGTGAAGCCCGAGATCGAAAGTCTATCTGTCAAAGTCTACTGTCGAAAGAGGAAGCGGCAACGACTTCGCGTCGTCTTTTGCCTTGCACTGCATAACTGCGCAACCGAATCGTTGACAAGATGGATTCCTTCCCGCTTCGGCACTGTTTATCCCTCAGCACTCTCCGCCCAATGCAGCCCCGCGTCCCAAGAAAAAAAGTCTGGGCGGCGGAAATGAGTGCCCCCTAGCCTTGGATCCGTTGGCTCAGGGGTCTGAAACGGGAAATTAGCAACGCGCCGCACAGCACGAATCACACGCTTGGCAAACAAAACACAGCACGGGGAAAAGGGTGCATCATCTTTTCTTGTACTGATCAAAATCAATTGGTCCATCCGTCTACACTACTCGCCATCTAGAGGTATCATCGTCACCGTAATTACAAAGCAAGCCCGCCCACGCTCCGCGTCACAAGAGGTCGCCTCAAAAAGCCATGCTACCTGATGCCCATGGCCTTCGCGTGCCCATGTCCCGGAGCCTGCCATGAAAACACCTTGAGATGAAATCAAAAAAATATCTGTAAAGGTCGGCCTGGTCCGGACGTGGAACCCGCTGCGTGCATCCAAGTCCCTGGAAGAGCCCATGTGCATTAAATAAAAGCCAATGTATTGAGGAAGAGGTCGTCCTACCACCCGCGACGCCCCTCCCCTACCAGAGTCAACCCCCTTCATGGGAGGAGACGCCGGAAGCAGTGACGCCCGGGTGTGGCGCGTGAAGGAGTGTGACAAGGAAGTGTAGGAATTATACATTGAGCTCTCCCGACGAACCGGCCTTTGTACTGTGTGCTTGTCGCGCGTTCTGTGTCTGATCATCGCCGAAAGATGTATCAGCCGTTTACAGCATGAAGGCGAAGAAGAGGCCAATGGCGCCCATGGCCATGTTGGCGCGGTTCATCATGCCGCCGGCGGGCTGAGCGGTGGCAACCGTCGAGGCGGCGCCGGCGCTGGTCGAGGCGGCAGCAGAGTCAGAGTCGGCACCGGAAGTGGTGGCAGAGGCGCCGGTAGACTCGGCGGCGTCAGTGGACGAAACGACAACGGAGCTCAGGGTCGTGGAGGCGGCGGCGGCGGCCGTGGTGCTGGTGGTCTTGTCGTCGTCGTCCTTCTCCGTCTCCGTCTCGGTCTCCGTCTCGCTGGCCTCCTCCGTCTTGGTCTTGGGGGCGGCGGTGGTCTTGGTGGCAGGAGCAGACGTGGTCGTCTCGTCCTTCTCATCGTCGTCGCTGCCGTCACCGGTAACAATCTTGATCGACTGCCACTTGCCAGACTTGTCGCCGTAGACGTACTCCTTGGCGTTGGGGGTGCCGCTGGCGGCGTCGTTGCCACCGGCATAGTCGACAATCTTGCAGTTCTGGTAGTAGCCGATGAAGGGAGCCTTCTCGTAGTCCGAGTAGCCACCGGCCCACTCGACGGTGCCCTTGGGGGTGTTCTTGTTGCCGGCAGGCCAGGTTCCGATCTTGATCTGCATGGGGGTCTGGGGGTACTTGTCGCCCACGTCGGCGGCGTTCAGGGTGCGGACGACAGCGCCGTCGATGGTCCAGTCAATCTTGTTCTGGTTCCAGACGATGCCGTACTTGTGGAACTGGTTGAGGGGGTTGGCAACGGCGTGCTTGCCACCGCGGTCGTAGGTGGTCGTGTCACCCTTGGAGAAGTAGTTGGTCTGGACGTTGGCGTTGTCGCCACCGGTCCACTCCCAGTCAATCTCGTCGAGGTCCTTGGACTGCAGGACGATCGAGGTGACAATGCCCTGCATGTTGGCGGCCTGGACGGTGCACTCGAGCTCACCGAAGAAGATGAACTTGTGCGAGGCCTTGGTGGGGGCATCGGTCTCCTTCTGGATGGAGAAGACGGCGCCCTTCTCCTTGTCGTAGGTGACCTTGGTGCCGGGGAGGGTGTAGAGGTAGTCCTCGCCGTTGGACTTGGTGAAGTCAATGTCGACCGTCTTGCCAAAGGCAGGGTCGGGGTCACAGGCTGGGGTGATCATGTTAGCATGCATTGTATAGACGGCGCCGCGCATGGGGCGTGTCCAGAGTCCAGACGGGACTTACACTTCTTGGTGGGGTCGCAGTCGGTGAAGGTCTGGGCGGAGACGAGGGAAGAGGCGGCCAGGGCCACGGCGAAGAGCTTGGAAACCATCTTGAATATTGTTGTTGGTGATGGGGTGTGTGGAAAGAATTATTGGCTGGTAGGGTACTGAGCGAAGGTTGACGAAGGTTCAAAGACTGCCTATTAACGAGTGATGCAGTTGTGTGCTAGGAAGAAACAAGAGGAGGAAGAGGGGGGGGGCGTGTTGTAGGGTGATGAGAGATGGAGGTGAGGCAGAAATGTTTGAAATATATCCATTCGACTGAGGAGTTAGACTGATTTTTTTATCAGAAATATTTGTGTTTTCTCTTCTCCCCCCCGGGGGCTTTTTTTTTTTTTTTTTTTTTTTTTTTTTTTTTTTTTTTTTTTTTTTTTTTTTTTTTTTTTTTTTTTTTT